AATGATAATATGTAAACTAGAACACTATTATTGACCTCCGCTTGTGGAGATTTTAATTTAGGGCGATTAATTAAACTGAAATCTGTTCTATCACGATGCATTACATGCATGTCCTCACAAATGTCTAGTGTAACGTTGGATAGATTCATTGTCATACGGCCCCAACAAGCAGCAACGTAGTTTTCCAGCCGAAAATACGGATCGATTGACAGAAAGCAGGTTCACTTCATAGTTTGGCACATAAAGTACATTTCGTAGAACCATTTCTTCCTCTTTTCCATTTTTCAGATGAAGCTTTACTGGTACATCACCAATTCCTTCAACAGGAGTAAAATTTCCTTTTGGATCTTTAACATTTTTGATGTTGCAAGGTTGTAAGTTTTCAAACAGTTCCTTTTGGGTAATGATGTGATCAGTACAACCAGTATCGATGATGAGATGGTTTGGTTTGCCAGTACCACTGCTTGTTTCAGTACCACTGTTCATACATTGAGAATATGATGCAAATGAGTTGGGTTCTTTTGTGGATTTATCGGGTTTACTTGAACTTCTGCATGCTTTTGGTAAATGTCCCCTTTTCTTGCACTTTGGGCAGTAAACTGAACTTCTTTTACTACATTGCTTGCCGAAATGTCCAGGGTTTCCGCATACAAAACAATCTCCCTTCGGCTTGCTTGGGCCTTTGTTTCTTCCTGACGTATTTCCAGAGTGCATAGCTGTTGCACTATCTTCTTCTGCTTGATTTCTTTGGAGTCGACTATCATCATAATTTTGTAAACGTGTTCATAATTCGGTGAAATTTGCTGCAGGATTAGAACTTTCTTGTACGATGAAGTGCTCATATTTCTCTGGAAGTCCGTTTATAACTAAGGCATTGAATAGTGTTTCTGATATCTTTTCACCAGCTTCGGTTAGTCGAGACATTAATTCTTGCGCTCGTATAAAGTATTCGGCTAATTTTTCATTTTCATCTAACTGTAATCGAGAAATTTGACGAACTAGACTTACTACAGTTGGCTTCTCCACGTTGGAATATCTCTGTTGTAGCAGACACCACGCCTTTGCCCCGTCCCCAACACTATCTGATGACAGGCAATCATGTCTTATATATAAGAGACTATTATTGTCGAGGGCTAAAGCAATATGACACCATACCGTATTATTTCTTTCTTTAATTTCTTCGATTTGTTTATTTTTTTGTTGAACTTTTGTCTCCCATTCGGCCTTCTGCTCGTTTGAAGCATCCCCTGCTAGCGGTGCTATCTCTTCCGGTACGACTTCTTTCCCGAGAAGCGCTTTGTATAAACCTTTCGTTTGCATATACGCGGTGAACTTTGTGCTCCATGCTGGGTAGTTTTCAGCTTTTCCGTTAAAAACTAACCATTTTATCGTTTGGCTATCCATTACCACGATCCTGGGCCCATAACCTGTTAGATTATGTAATTTATTGTTGTAAAAGAAACTAAAAGGTTCGCAAAATATGGTTTTCCCGCTTGAAAACAACAACTACACCGATAATGGCGGATCAAAAAAACGTTCAACGAACGTACAGTCACGTATCCGATGTACTATATATATTAACTGTATTACGGTACTTTATACTAAATAATATCAACCATATAAATATAGTTTAAACTTTAAAGTATAAATAAACTTTAAACACTAAAAATACTTATCTCAACACATTTTGTATTTTCTTGAAAGGAACTAAATAATGAAGATGCTATGTGCCAATGTTAAGTTTTGAGTAACATACTGTACACAAAACTATTTGAGGAACGTGCATTACTGTAGCAAAGAGGTCAATTGTATATCGGAGACCACTGAATAGTACAGAATGTTTTAAAGGTCTGAGTGAAGTATATAATTCAATTCCAGTCGTGTACACAGTTAATAATATACCACACTGTTCGGTTTAACGCAGCATATCCTCACAGCACAGCCATTGACCTGATCCATTCATATATAATATATGATTATTGTAGCTGTTAAGTTATTTTCCATACTAATGAATTTAGGTAAGATTGTCTTGCAAGTAGGTTGTTGTGACAACATTATCAAGCCAATATCCAGTCACATTTATTCATCATTGTTGTACTAATCTCTAAACAAAAAATATTTATGTTACAAAGCAAAATGACAATGTTATGAAGGCAGGTGGAGAAAATGTTTCTAAAAATTTTGTCTAATTAAAACTCTTAATGTGTAATACCAAAATGTACTGGTATAAGTATTTTAAATTAACTGATAACATCTAAATCTTTGCTTTGGACTGTTGTTTTGAACAGAGTTTATACAGAAATACAGGACAGGAGTAGAACCAGAATTTAATTCAATATCTCCTGAGAACATTAGCTTCCTTTGATATTGTATATAATATATAATAATTTGACAATTTATATGGCGCTTTCTACATGACAAAATGAACAAGTATGCTATGAAATACAATTACAAATATCTAAAACCTATCAAGAGTACAGTTATCTAAAATAATAAGACTTTACTGTATTAAAGAGCCTCTTAAAACAAAAATGTTTATATGAATTAATAAAAATATGTGGCATTTGCACAAATTTGGTATTTAAAGTGCCTATGACATGAAATTTTGGTGTATGATTTTTTTCACTTTTCTGATACTTTTTGATGCGCTGATTATCGTGGTAATATTTATTTTTTAATCACAATGCGAGAATTCCAATTTTTTTCAAGATAAAGTTTACAACTTTAGCTTAAATATTTCCAAGCTCTGTGCGCGGTCGTGACGTCACACGTTAGAGTTAACGCGCGAAGATGCAAAACTGCTGTAGTTTTAATATGGCGGAACCAAAACATGCAACGAAAACTACAAAAAATCTTGGAAAGTATTGCGTTGCTGGTGGCCCAAATAATGAAAGTTGCAAGAACAACTCGACCACTCCCGGGATATCAATGCATGAATTTCCAAAACCTGGTAATCAACTGCGAAATCTATGGATAAAGTTTGTCAGGCGACATAGAATGGCAGACTTGCAGCCTTCGCCTTACTCGTGCTTGTGTTCTTCACATTTTGAACCACAATGCTTTCATCAGCGACTTGGTCTTGGATTGGAAGTCAGCAGCAATATCACAACAAAACGACTATTAATAATTCAAGCACGTTAGGTGAAAGAACAGCCCGAAAATAAGTAAAACACACACCAAATCATTGTGGGAGAATGGGTTCAGGGTGAAGTGAACCAATTATATACATTATACTCTCAAACTCTGGTCAACCCAAAGACTCATTAAGCCTTATGTTTTCATCCCGCAGGCGTATATATAAGACCTGCTAGGAGAGACTGAATGCTCCATAGGAGCTCTGCCCGAAGGGTAGCGACCCCCTCTGACATAGACCTGAACCAAGGGGTGATAATCCCCTTGGACAGTACCTACGATTCGACTGATTATATTTACATAAATAACCTGAGTCTATGGGCCTGAAGTTGACCATTGGGAACACTTCAACCCCGAACCAAAATTTATTTGTTTGAACATTTAAGTATTTACATAGCGATAATTTTCCATGAGAAAATTGTTCGATAGTCTTTCTTGACAAATTGTTCTTGAACAGTCCTTGCATAACATTAGCTAGTACCCATACAATGCACCAGATACCAGGAACATGAACGGGTGGGTGGGTGGAAATTTTCTTTCTCGGTAACAAGACATTGCTCTTTGTTGGGATATTTGTCAAAGTGAACTCCCTTATCACATTGACCTTTGTTCTGCGTGTTCGTTGTTGACATATGATTGGTCAGTTGATCTTTCATTCGGTTTTACACATGCCCAGAGAAACATTTGAACTTTGGACTATTGGATATCGCCTTTTTGTGGCTGTTGACAAGCTTATCCTGTTACTATGAGATTATAACCAGGTTTGAAGGTGACAAACGTGTTGTCTCATTAACTTGAATTTATATATTGTTATATATAAATTTGCTTTAATAATTCAAGCACGTTAGGTGAAAGAACAGCCCGAAAATAAGTAAAACACACACCAAATCATTGTGGGAGAATGGGTTCAGGGTGAAGTGAACCAATTATATACATTATACTCTCAAACTCTGGTCAACCCAAAGACTCATTAAGCCTTATGTTTTCATCCCGCAGGCGTATATATAAGACCTGCTAGGAGAGACTGAATGCTCCATAGGAGCTCTGCCCGAAGGGTAGCGACCCCCTCTGACATAGACCTGAACCAAGGGGTGATAATCCCCTTGGACAGTACCTACGATTCGACTGATTATATTTACATAAATAACCTGAGTCTATGGGCCTGAAGTTGACCATTGGGAACACTTCAACCCCAGAAATACACAGCATGTGTATTCCCCATAGACGAACTCCCACCACAGCTGTATTTGTATACAAGACAGCTGCTGCCAGATGATAGTTAGACATAGATTTGGGCGTTACCATCACTCATACTATAGCTGGATAGTCAGGGAGGCCAGAAAAAACCTGGAATATACAGGAAACCTGGATGGGGCCAAGACAACCAGCAGCTTCCCCACAAAGCTTCTATCTTACAATTTTTTAATTGGAGGGTTGGTAACACGACAAACAAAGCTCACCATCGAGGCAAATTTTATTTATTTTTATTTAATTTTTTTTTAAGTTAATGTGTTCATAAATACGTTTTGCACAACATTTATTTGTTAACCACATTTATTTTATTTCAATTATGATCAGTGGACCTTTCTCGAATTATGTGACATTACTCTCAGAAAAATAGCTTATTCATTACTTTAATTCAAAATAGCAACACCAAAATTTTGCGATCGAACATCCGATCATGCATGCATGATATTACCAGAAAGAAATTGTAAGAATATGTATGTGGTAGTCAAAATATATTATATGCAGTAAATAACAGTACATCAAAGGATTTTCAATTTTCAAAAGCGTAGGCATACATGGTATCGTACTAATCTTTCCTGATATCCATCTTGGCATCTTGCCGATTTATCGCAAATGTGCATAAACATATATCATGTGGAGAGTTTTAAGTCTCAAATTTCGTTCACAAATGAGCTTGCTTTCTTACGTTTTGAACAGTAAAGTATTGAAAATGTATGCAGGTCAAATTTTTGTGAAATAGCTTAATTTTGAAATAGCTTAATTTTGTGAAATAGCTGAAAAAGAAGTTTTATAATTCTACTTTTGAGCGATTGAATACAGTTTAATGTAAGGCCTGATTGAAACCCAATCCAACGCCAAATCTGAGGCGTAGTCTGAAGCCTTTAATCTGCGGCTAATCTCAAGGTAGTAATAAAATTGTCATTGGAATTTTTGATTGAAAAATATAAATACACCAGAATCACGGAATGTTGTTATAAAATAGACGAATTTTAATACATTTTGGTTGGTTTGAGATGCGGAATACGAAACAAACGTGTCAATGCACCGCATACTTACGCGCCGAATACCGCTTCACTTTAGGAAGCATGTGCATTGAGACATGGAATATTGGAATGATATCAATTGAACGCTTGTTGATTTCGTGTTTAGCGGCTTTAGCCTATCGATCTTGTTGTTATTCCCCCAGCGGCGGTTTCATTTAATGGTAATAACTTCGTCGGGCAGGCCTTAAAATATCTTTTCCAAGGCCGTCTGACAAAATGTCCGGTGACGTTGAGTTTGGGTCGGACATATGTCCGATGACTTTCAGTTCAGTTTTGACTCGGAAATAAGTCTGAATGACACAAATGAATAAACGGTCAATATTGTAAAGATATTAAATAATTTCTTTCATACTTATTTCCAAGCCAAAATTAACTCACTTGCCAGGACAGCAGTGTTAAAAAAGACTTCGACAACTTAAGCCCGTTTTCCACTTCACCATTTCGCTCGCCGCCCCGCGCTCGACTACGTTAAAACAACATTTCCAGTACATCTTTTATACAATAGTACGTCGGACAAAGCTACAGTTCGGTCGGACACCAATTCACTTGGGTCGGACAAACAATAAACCTCAGTTTCACTTTGGTCGGACAGAATGTCCGGTGGTTTCCTCTCTACGTCGGACAATTTCACGAATGGGTCGGACAATGTCCGTGACCGACCGATATTTTAAGGCCTGTCGGGACTTGGGCCAACGTATTCCTTTGTCCACCAGAAGAGTAAGCGCTTGTCCGGTACAGTTCTATTTGAATAAACTGCGTCTCACTGAATTATCATACTGAGTTACTGACCAAATTTTCTTTGATATAACCATGATATGTCAATTCCAGCGTTCATAAAGTCTTTTCTGTCACATTGTCTGAGTTCATTCGATGTCCGTAATTCTTTACAGCTCCGCACCAAGTCAAATTTTCAAATTTTCTTTCTCGGTAACAAGACATTGCTCTTTGTTGGGATATTTGTCAAAGTGAACTCCCTTATCACATTGACCTTTGTTCTGCGTGTTCGTTGTTGACATATGATTGGTCAGTTGATCTTTCATTCGGTTTTACACATGCCCAGAGAAACCTTTGGACTATTGGATATCGCCTTTTTGTGGCTGTTGACAAGGTTATCCTGTTACTATGAGATTATAACCAGGTTTGAAGGTGACAAACGTGTTGTCTCATTAACTTGAATTTATATATTGCTATATATAAATTTGCTTTAGACAGAAGTTGTGCGATTCCAACCATTGACACTGTCGAACCGGACAGAACCCCGCATCCAGTTTCACAACGGGAGCGCAGACAGGTGCGGTATTATATTACATAATTTCATATGTAAATTTATTATCAGATTAGTTTTAAGAAATTTTATTGAAATCTTTACTCTAACCACAGATTCTTCGTGATGCCAGCTTCATATCTGCACAACAACAAAGTGAGCAAGCATGCGAAGGAGATATTTCAGGAGTACAACTTGAAACGAGCATGGAAGCCGATACACATACCAGTGATATTTCTCGTTCAGCATGCGAAGAGTGTAACAAACATAAACAACGATATATCAGATTGAATGACAGATACAGAAAAGCCAAAGGTGTGCAACAAAAGCTAAAAAGTAAGGTTGTTCAACTGGAAAAAGCTAACGAAGCCTTGACGGAGGTAAATAATATGTTTTGATAAAGAATTTACACTATATTTAATATGACAGATGTATATGTAACGTATTACATATTTTATACTCAGGCTTCAGCATTCTTTCTGCTCAAGTGGCAACCAAATATACCATTTAACACTTTACAATTATACGGTATATAATCTGTCATGAAATTTGAAAATATTGTAGTCACTTTATACCTATAGGTACATAGTATATTATACACATGCAACTTCCTGTTTTTGCTCAATGCCTTTGACCTAATAGGGGCTGTTTATATGATCTACTGCATCAAACTCTCATAGGCTACTATATAGGCTACTAGCTAGGGACATGTCAGGAGTATATAGAGTCAGCCTGTTACTAGAGGGTAACCCTTAGAATTGGTACACAATTTTTGTCCATGCATACTGTTTGCCTCGACCTCCAGGAGAACTTGTTATGTCCATGCCTTTTGACAAAATATAGAATATTTTTTATATTCTCACTTTTTGACAAAAATACAGAATATTTTTTATATTGTTCCACAAATACCTTTCAGAAATCTGGAGATTCATGTTGACAAGGGGAGTAGGGTGTCACTGGTGCCCGAGATACCCTTAAGTAAGCAAATGTTGTTATGGGTGCAAATGTAAACAAACAACTAACTTGTATCTGATTTTAAGAAACTTGAGAATCAAGCTCAAGACCTACAGCAACATGTTGAACAAGACGAAGATATGAATGCTGTTGATGAGACCATTGAGGAATCAGCTGATTATGATGGTGCTACACTGGAACCAGAGTGGGACCCTTTTGGAGAGGAACAAATTAATAATGCTGGAATTCCATCAAATCAGTGCAGCAGAAATACTGTCAGGTACAACTATACATAATAATTAAATCTGTATGTCTTTACAAAAGCTCTAATGAAATATCACAAAATATATAAATAGCTGGCAACTTGTTGATTTCATCCTGATCCTTTTGTGTACAAGAAAATTAAAGTACAGTACAGTAGTTTTTATTGGTCAAAAATGTACAGTGGATTTAGGTTAATTAATAAATTACTTACTTGTATTTTTTTTTAAGAGTGGAAGCACGACCAAGGTCAACATGTACCAAACTGGCACTATGGTAACTGTAGAACAACAATGCTCTTCATGTCAAGGAGTTAAACCATTCAAATGGCGAAGCCAACCTAGTCTACTTGGACGTGCAGCAGGGAATATTTTGTTAAGCTTCTCTTCACTCATGGCTGGGGCATCCATCAGTAAGGTCCTCTTGGTATTTCGTCACTTTGGCCTGGTAGTATATAGTCCGAGAACCTACTACCGTCATCAGAGTGAAATGATCATCCCATCTATCCTGATTTACTGGGAATCATACCAGGCATCCTTAATCCAGTCGCTGCAAAATGTTCAAAATGCTGTATGGAGCGGAGATGGTCGTTTCGATTCAATGGGCCACTCAGCAAAATATGGTGTTTACACAATGTTTTGCTGTACCATCATGAAGATAGTGCATTTCGACTTGTTGCAAGTAATTATTTGTGAAATACTTTACATGCTTTGTAGTCTTAGTTGTTTTGTTTAGTTTCACTAGTTCATTACACCACTTGTCAAAAACCATACTATGCAGGAGGAAACCACTGTTACCACATAGTTATTTTAGCCCTGGAATTAGAGATACAATCTCTAATTCAAATTAAAAGTGTGACAATCGCTCTATTAGACTAATATTGCAACTCATAATAAATATTGTATTCATTATTATAGGCAAACCAATCTGGAAGCAGCAACGCCATGGAGCTGGATGGTTGTAAGAAATGCTTTGACTTCTTGATCACAACTGCTGGTTTAACAATTCCTGTGTTTGTATCCGATCGCCACAAAGGAATTTGCAAATATATACGCGATTCACATCCTGCAATAAAACATTTCTTTGACCAGTGGCATGTCATCAAAGGCATTGTGAAAAAGATGCTTAAAGCCAGCAAGGAAAAGGGATGTGAAACGATTAAAGAGTGGACAAAAGGAGTAAGAAACCATATCTATTGGTGCTCTACGACAACGGTGGGAAACTTTCCAAGTTTAATCTTAGCCAAGTGGAAGTCATTGATGGGGCACATCGCTAATAAACATAATCACCCAGACCCACTCTTTCCAAAATGTGCTCATGGAGATTTAGAACCGAGAAAATGGATAAAAGTTGGTATGACGTTGTTTGTATATGTTTATTGTGTGCATGGTGATCAATATAATTAACGCTTACCCATTAAGTGGACATTCTTCCCTTGAAGAATAAAACCATCTGGCATTAGACAAAGTATAAGAATAACTAGGGATCCAAGGATAGTGTGAAGTTTAAAATTGAAAAAGACACTGCAAGAACTATATAGGGTTGCCAACAACCTAGAAAAGCCGATGACTTACGCTACGAAATAAACAGTTACCAAAGGCATTTCATCTCATTATTTATTGCTTTTAATACGCTCAGCACACAAGTAGCGTGACGTTTGAAACAAGCCTACCCCATCAGAAACTTGCCTTGTGAAACTGATGCAATTTATCTATTTATTGTGATGCTACACGCGACAATTCGAAATTTAAATAGTTTTACCAACAACCAAATTTTGCATATTCTAAATTTTCATTTGCATTTCCAGCTGTCGCTAAAAGCATCCCCACGAGGCTACTGCTATGCTAAATTTATCTAAAACTATAATTGAAATAGCTGTATAAGATATGTTATGAATAATAAGCACTACGTCGTTACATCATTAAAAGGACGCGTTTTATCCTCATCCGTTCCGTATTTTATCCGCATATCCGTTCCGTGGATCCGCTTCATCCGCTACCGCATTTTAACCTAATTGTGACATGTTTTACAATAACAAGTCTCATTGACCTTTGACTTTTCCCAGTGTCACGTCTATTTTCAGCTTTTCGCATGCATTGAATAATGTCACTTTAAATTTCAATAGTTTCACAGTTAAGCAGTGTTTAAAGCAGTTTTGACAAGCTTTGATAAGTTCTGTCACTTCTGTGTACAGAATACTACAGATTGATTCTCGCATACGATCTGGTAGAGTTATCGTTGAACTGTACACGAATATGCACCGTTGACAACAGCGTTGTGCTAGACAGTAAACAAAGGTCAAAGACAAGGCCGTGACGGTACACGATGGCTACATATGTACCTCCTTGCTTTTTTCTTCTATTGCATAAAGCTTGTTGGCGAGCCAAGCGTATGGCGAGAACACGTTGGCGATAACACATTCGCTATCTCCTCGTCTTTCTTATTTAAGGAGCTCTGACTCAACTGATTTCTTTAATAGTCTCGCAAGTCGCAAAGTTGTTTATGCTTTATTGATCTGATACAGATCTGATGCAATTTTTCGCTCTTTGTACTGAGTGTAGCCATCTATTCTGTGATGTAGCACCTTATACAGTCAATGACAATGTATAATGAATACACGGTCTAATAATATCGATGGGCACTTACCTGAATGCCAGTAATGCATAACATAAATTTACACATTGTATTATTGCGTAGAATCTCAAAGATTTTCTCAATATTCATGTCTGAAATGTTTATATGCTTGAAAACAACACTGTCTCGCTTCTGCCCACGTACTGTACCTCTGTATAATGAGTATGCCGTGAAAATAATATCGGCACTCAATTAAATGCCTAGAATGTCAAAGATTTTCGACTCAATATTTACGTCTGAAATGTTTATAGACTTTACTGCACTGTCTAGGCGGTCTAGCTCCTTCCTAGCTCTGTATAATGAATATACCGTCTAAATATTATCGGCACTTAATTGAACGCCCGTAATGCATAAGATCAATTTGTATTTTGCGTAGATTTTCAAAGATTTACTCAATATTCACGTCTGAAATGTTTATACATCTGAAAACAGCACTGTCACTCCTTCCTAGCATATCGTCACGCCATCGTGATCTATGGCTTGATAGCGCATGCGCATTTGCGCTACTGAGGAAAAAATTGGGTGTTCCGGGGTAAAGATCCTTTACACAACACGGAGAAGCGAATGTTCTAAAATTTACAAAAAATTACAATAACGAAAGCGACTCCTCGAAATTTTTGTGAACTTGGCAAAAGGATAACAGAATATGTAAACAAGTTAACTGAAATTGCCTAAATAACCTTCAAAGTATTGACTAAGTACAATAAATCACTACGAACATAAATCGTATACACCCCCCGGAAAGTTTACTCTATGACTGACTGTTTGACTGACTGACTGACTGACTGACTGACTGACTGACTGACTGACTGACTGACTGACTGACTGACTGACTGACTGACTGACTGACTGACTGACTGACTGACTGGCTGAGTGACTGACTGACTGACT